TATTTCTGTTCTAATCTTTATTATTTCCTTCCTTCTGGTGGTTGAGGGTTTATTTTGCCGTCTAGTGCTAATTTTTGTTTTTCCTGGTTCTAATTGTGTAAGATGTTGGGTTAAAGTGCTGGTTTTTGGTTCTTCATTCTTCCATGTGTGCATTGATTCCTATAAATTGCCCTCTGAGTACCAGCCTTTTCTGTGTCCCAGAGGTTTTGATATGTTGTCTTTTTGTTCGCATTTGTCTCAAGGATTTTACACATTTCCATCCTTGTTTCTTCAGTGTTCCCAGTAGTTTTTAAACAGGACGTTGTTTGATTTCCACGTATCTGAATGTTTCTCCGTGGTCTTCCTATTGTTGATTCCTAGTTTTATAGCATTACGATCTGAAAACATGTTCATGACATCTCAATGTCTTTGAACTTATTAAGGCTTCCTTTGTGGCCATATGTAATCTATTGTGTATTTGTCAATCAGGTGGTAATTAAGTGGGTGGTAGCCCATGCCCACTAGTTTTATCTGTTGAGTATGTTGGCTGGGGTTGTGTATGGGAGGGGAGTTGAGTAGAGGGGAGAGGGTGGGCAGTTGACTCCCTCAAGTAGAGCAAGAAAGGACTGTTAACACAGTCAAAACACAAAGACACACACAAACAAGACCAAGTACACACCCACACCCACATGCAAACCCTCAAGCTAACGCCAACGCTGGTTTCTCTTTCCCAATCCCAGTACTTGATTGCCAAGTGCCCGCCCAGTAGGTGCACAGGAGGAGTACAGCCTCAGCTGCACAAGAGTAGGAGTTGGTGACTGTTTAACAAAAGCTTGTGGAGAGTTAGGGATGACTCTGTTTCTTTCCTCCTGTGTCTTTCTACTTGGGTTTATCTAAACAGTGAAAGAATAATGCGGGGTGGGGGGGTGGGGGGCGACTAGAATAACACCAGATCCCCAAACCAGAGCTGGCTGCTGCTTTTTATGAAGTCCAGGCCTTTGGCTGACTTCTGTGGTGGCCAGCAAGTGTGGGTATCTGGGGTGGGTCACCTCTCTTTGGCTGTGATAGTTTATCATGACCAAAGCATGAAGAAGGAAAAAATTAAATGGGAGTGGGGCGTGGGGAGAAAGCCCCAGCCTGTCATCTTACTGCACAGTGGCGTTAGCCCCAGGGCACTGCTTAGAGTTGGAGCCTTTCTAGGAGCTAAGAGGAGAGTTGAGCCAAGTGGTAGGTTGCAAATGTGTGGGCCTATGTGACCTCTGGACTCCTAGATGCCCTGGGGAACCTAGTGCTTCAGCCTCTCATACTAAGTGAGGGTCCCCATCAGGCCCACTGTCTATAGGAGTGCATTCACTGCCTCAAGGATGTGGAGGGAAGGGCAGGACCATCCTCTACTGGACTCGATTGGGTCTCCCAGCTTTTGTCTTTTCATCCAGCAGGTGGGAGGAGACAGAGTGTCCACTCCTCTCTGGCTTTCTCAAGGCAATCAGAGAGCGTTCTGGACTGTGGAAGGGTTGTTCAACTCATGATTCTCCAGTTTGGAATTTGATATTCCCCTGATTGTCTTTGTGTGGGCTCTGCCTTTTTGTTTTCTGTGTCAGGATTCTGCTCCCTTCTTTTTCCTTTCCACAGAGATCTATGGTTCCAGATTTTTTCTCTGTCCATTTATTTCACATCTCAGTTGCAGAAGGTCCGTGTAACACATCTAGCCAGAAGTCCTAGCACTTATTTCTTTAACTGACATTAGTTATCGTCATTGAGACCTTGCCACCTGTCTTCCCACCTTGGTGGGAAACGCATTCTTCCTGTCCCCTAAGGCCAGTTTCTGTACTATTTATATTAGGGGGTCTTCATCTTTACACTCTGTCCAGCAGGTTCGCAACTATCGTCTCCTGGTTTTTCTCAACCTATGAGCATATTCCCACCACTTGTCTATCCGTTCGGTCGTCATTCGGGGGGTGGCTTGTGTGTGGCTGTGATGCTGGAAGTGATGTCATTGGTATTTCAAATTCCAGAAGGGTTACCCAAAGTTGACAGGTTTCAGGGGAGCTTCCAGCCTCAAAACAGATTATGAAGAAAGAATCAGCTCCCAACTTCAGAGCAAGTAGCCAGCAAAAACCTGAGGGGGTACCCCCAAAAGCAGATTTTTCCCCCTCAAAGCTATGTATTTAAATTTTTTTTTTTTTTTTTTTGCAAAACAACCTGCCACCTTCAAAGTACTCTTCATTACACTAAATACATTTGTCAAATCTGCAATTCCATTCGTGGAAACTTTTTTCAAACTCATCTGTTTGGATGACTGAGAGCACCTCCCTCGTTTTTTTCTTCACCATTTCTACGTTGTCAAATCACTCTCCTTTCATGTTCCTCTTCATTTGCAAAAACAAAAAGAAGTCATACAGCGAGTGAGATGGCTGCATGAGCAGGTGCATTGTCATGGTGGCAAAGCCGGTCCCCCATGTGCCACAAATCAGGCCTTTTTTTCCCAGCACACTCTTATGCAATCTTTTTAGAACCTCTGAATAGAAAGCTTGATTTAACAGAATGACCTGGTGGAATGAACTCTTAAGTGCATTATCCCCCTCACATAAAAAACAAATAAATGAGCATTGTCTTGTGTCTTTCATTTCACTTGACAAGCTTTTTTTTGGGTGAGGTGACAATGGCTTGATTGATGTTTGCTCTTGGGTGTGTAAGAAATAGCACTGTGTCTCCTCACCAGTAATGACCTTGGGAAAAACGTCTGGGTTGCTTCAAAGTTGTTCTTTCAAAGCACAGCATGTTTCCACGTGATGCTCTTTTTCCTGGTCAGTCAAAACCCAAGGCACAAATTTTGCAGCCACCCATCTCATTCCCAAATCTCCCGTAAAAATTTGCTGAACCGAGCTCCAAGATAGTCCAGATAACTTCCCTATCTCTTCAGTGGTCCATCATCATTGGTCTTCCAGCACAAGTGCACGAAATTTGACAACATTTTGATCTGTTCAGGAAGTTGATTGACATCCAGAACGAGGTTTGTCATTGACATTTCACCTCTTTTGAAACAGGAAAACCACTCAAACACTTGAGTTTTTCCCATAGTGCTGTCCTTGTAAGATGCGAACAAGATCACAACAATATCTGGGGCATTTTCCACCCGAGCAGGAAACAAAATCTCACAGCTGCACTCTGCTCTCTTAAATCGACCATCACATAATCGATGTTCGAGTGAAACTGCTTTATCAAAAAAATTCACTGTAACCAGAGAGAACCTTCACAGGCGACGTCACTGGGTGCACTAACTCAGAGCAAGTTGTTGAATGCTCTCCTAGTGGGAAAAATGCATACTACGAAAGCTCTGCCCAGCATCAGCTCCTTTTTCCAATTTTGTGGGGGTACCCCCTCATATGCATACATTATGAATACATTTTCTATTTCACTTGACTTCTATATATCACTAAACAGTATTGGCTGTTTTCTCCTTAAAAAATATTCCTTTAACTTCTATGACACTATTCTTTTAAGGGTTTCTACTTCCCCTCTTGGAGCCCGGGCGATGTGGTTACTTTCACATCGGGCTGTGGTTCATGTGGTTGGCAGTTTGAAGCCACCAGCAGCTCGTGGGAGAAAGACGAGGCTTTCTACTTTCATGAACAGTTACAGTCTCGAAACCCCCCAGAGGTTCTGAGTCTGCATTGACTCCATGCAGTGAGAAAGAGAGTCTTTGGCTCTTGAGCCCCTTGGAAGCTTCGTTTAAGAGTTTCTCTTTCTCTCTAGCCCCTTAATTTGGATACACATCTACTTCCTTGCTTTTGACCATGACACAGATGCTGATGACTCTCACTGTGAATCTCCAAACTTGTATATCTCTTCCAAATTAAGGACCCTTCTGTAAATGTAGCATTTTCTGATTCTGTTCTCCTGAAACTTCTCTTCCATGTTTCTGATCTTGGTGAGTATCACATAACTATCTAGTCCAGAAACCATGAGCCTTTCTTTCCCACACTGATGTGTGTGTTTGTTTTTTCCAGCACACTGAGTTTTCAAGTCCTGTTGACTCTATAGAATCAATTCGTGTTCTCAAATCAAAATCATGCTTTTTCCTTTGTTTCACTCTGACTACATTGCTACGTGCTGTCATTATTTCCACATCTCTGGTGTAGCTTACATTCTATTGTTTTTAACATTGGTGGCGGGCCTAGGGGAGGAAGTCCTGGGCTGTGGAGGGCTGGGCTGCCCAGCCACTCTGTTGTTGGTGAGCAGCCCTAGTGACTTGTAATTCTTTGTTGGGCTGATAATCTCCAGGTTAGCAGTTTAAATCACCAGCCTGCTCCTCAGGGGAAAGACGAGGCTTTGTACTCCTGTAAGAGTTACCGTCTCAGGTGCAGTTCTACCCTGTCCTGTAGGGTCACTGGGAGTCAGAATTGACTTAATGCCACTGAGTTCCTTTTTGTTTTGTGGCTTATTGTTATTCAAGTTCTAGTTCATATCCTTTCTTCAAGGAAGTCTGCACTGTGTTGGTTGGTGGCTTAGTGGGCTGCAAGCTGGAAGGTCAGCAAGTGGATCCCACCAGCCACTTCATGGGAGAAAGAGAGGCTTTCTGCCTCCTATAGCAACCTCTTATGAGTTTCTCTAGACCTCTTCACATCATATTTATAGCACATCAAACTGAATTAGAATTATATTTACCTGACTCCCTTACTAATACTGGAAGGTTCTTGTAGACCAGGATTTTATCTTTAATCTTAGTATCCCTAGAGTATTAACATGGTACTAGAAGAGAGTGACATTTGAATTTTTCTTGGATATATTACCAACTCAGTGAAAACAGTTACCAAAATTTTTTCGATTCTTTGCACCCAGACAAATAATTTCTAGCTACTTTCTTATGGAGTAAAGAAAACAGGGCGAAAGTTGCAGGGGCCGGGGTGGTGGTGATTTCTTATAATGACCTGAGAAGGCATTGCAGAAAGGCAGTATATTTTCTATTAAAGTTTTTTGCTTCTTTTAGTGTTTCACTGAATGTTGTTGTCAATTTGTAGTCTTTAGGCAACTTTTCATCCAACAATGGACCCTTTCAACACTACTTGAGTGGTGATCCCAGTCAGCCCTTGGACAGTTCTGGTTTTCCTGAAGATACTCCAGTCTCTCCTGCCGGCGCCACCACCGCGGATGCGCAGCTCGTAGCCGTGGACGGGAGAGGCGAAGTGAAGTGTGGAGGAGAGGATGGCAGAAGTCATAGTGGAGCCCCACACCGGGAGAAACCAGGGGGAGAAAACGAGGAATTCTCGAATGTCAGAAGAGCGAGAGGTGTGTGTCACTTTTGGTGGGGTTGTTTTCTCTTGTTATCTTTATAAATCAATTGGTGAGATGGATATTTTAGATAGGGAAGCACTAGGACTATCATCTTGCAAAGGGAATATTTAAAAGAACCTCACACAACATAGGACGTTTTTTTCTGTAGTTTGGCTTCCCTCCTTTGATTTCACAGGAGATGGTAGTGGGGTCCCTAAAGCAATAGAGAAAGACATTTCTAGTTCTCTGTCTTTCATGACTTATTGAGGTTGCCAAATGTATGTGCTATCACTCTCTCGAACATTCACTTACCAGTTGTTCCACCTGTGCTGCTTTTCCCCCAACCCCTTACAAGAGAAAGCTTGAATTTCTTCTCGCCTTTATGTTTTTGTCACTATGGTCAAAATATACCATTTTAAGGCTGACAAATCCAGTGGTAGAGATATAAGAACATTTAGGAATACAGAGGTAACCATTAATAGTGGTACTGTGATTGGGTATAAGAGCAGCCAGAGCTTTGTGCAAAAGTAAATATTTATTTATACTTATTCAAAGTAGGAAATGAAAAGATTCGATCTTTAAAAACAGAGAATTAATGGTATTATAGGAAATGTTTTTTAAAATAAACACTTAAGCAAAATATAAACCTTCTTAATGTATCAGAAAATACACATGACACATTTTTTATTTAAACTATGGAAACAAGCCACATTGTAAAATAGTTTCAAAATGCAGAAGCCTTCCTGTAAGCATAAGATCAAAGACCCTAGGCCAAATATATATATATTTTATAGCAATAAAAGTAAGCTAACTATACTCACCTATTTCCAGAAAAAAGTGTTCATGTTTACCAAGTGTTTTACGTTACACGTGTGTGTGTTTGCATCTAAGACAGAGATTCAGAAAAATAAAAGGATTGACAAATGCACATTTTTTTAAAAAGTGAGGTTTCAATCTTAATATCAGGTTGGATTAATTTCAGGGCAAGAAAAATTAAGACAAAGATATTTAATGTTAAACTGCATAAGAAAGATGTTATAAACTGACTATATAGTAAATTTCAAAAATCACAGGAGACATAAAGAGAAATAGGAAAAAATCATATTAATTGTTGGGATTTTTTTTTTTTTTTAACATTTTATTAGGGGCTCATACAACTGTTATCGCAAGCCATACACACATCAATTGTGTAAAACACATTTGTACATCATTCTTAAAACATTTTCTCTCCACTTAAACCCCCGACATTAGGTCCTCATTTTTCCCCTCCCTCCCCGCTCCCCCCTCCCTCATGAGCCTTTGATAGTTTATAAATTGGTATTTTGTCATATCTTGCCCTACCCGACGTCTCCCTTCACCCACTTTTCGGTTGTCTGTCCCCCAGGGAGGAGGTCACACAGAGTTCCTTGTAATCATTTCCCTCTTTCCTACCCATTCTCCCTTTACCCTCCCTGTTTCGCCACTCACACCACTGGTCCTGTAGGGCTCATCCGCCCTGGATTCCCTGTATTTTCAGTTCCTATCTGTACCAGTGTACATCCTCTGGTCTAGCCAGACTTGCAAGGTCGAATTCGAGTCATGGTAGTGGGAGCGGGGAGGAAACATTTAGGAACTAGAGGAAAGTTGTATTTCTCATTGTTGTTACATCGCACCCTGACTGGCTCGTCTCCTCCCTGAGACCCCTCTGCAAGGGGATTTCCAGTGGCCTACTAAAAAGAAGAAAAAAATATCAAAGATAAGATAACAGCTCGAAAACTAGGTATGGAATTGCTCCTCATGCCATAAACTTTGCAAAATAGTGACAGGGAAGATAATTAGGAACAAGCTAAAAGACCACTCTGCATTTACAGGTATCTCTGGGGGATAGTGCAGCTTCGGGTGCAGAGGACTTCAACAAAGTGAATGTTGCAGTAAATCAAGTCATATGATTTTTTTGGTTTGTTTCTTAGTATATATATTTTAGTTTCATTATACTGTACAACAGAGCCCTGTTGGTTTAGTGGGTCGCTCGTTAGGCTGCTACCCCCAAGGTCAGATGTTCGAAACCACCACGTGCTCCAAGGGAGAAAGATAAGGCTTCTACTCACATAAAGAGTTAGTCTGGGAAACCCCAAAGGGTTTCTGTCCTATATAGGGTTGCTGTGAGTCAGAATTGACTCAGTGGCAGAGAGTTTGGTTTGGATTGGTCCTGTGCAATGTTGTTAAGTGCTGTCAAGTCACTCTCGACTCATAGAAACACTATGTATAATAGAACCATTGTTATGCGTGACCCATTGCTGCAGCCACTGTGTCAATCCTCTGGTTACAGTAGCATTTTGAAAAAGTTTGGCATATTGTGAGAATTACCAAAATGTGAAAGACACAAAATAAGCACATGCTGTTGGGAAAATGGCACAGGTGGACTTGCTTGTTTCATGGTTGCCACAAACCATGAATCTGTGCTTCAAACCAAAACCCCCAAACCCATAGTATCTACCGAGTACAATGCTGTGAAGTACAATTCAGTAATTAAGCAACGTATGCCTGTGTACAGGAAGTTGTGCTCCGTGCCTGTAGAAAACAATGAGGAAGAAGGTGGGTCAATACATTTTTGAAAACCACCTTGTGCTTTGTGGGAAGCAGACCGGGAGCAAAAGAGCCTCACGGAAAAAGATTCCGTGCCCTCCTCGAAGCCTTTTGGATAAACAGCCAGAATGACCTCAACGTTTGCTATTGTTTTCTCCTCCATTGTGGTTTAGAGAAAGATTAGAGATTGAGGGATAATACGGTAGAATAAATTTCTTCTTGTAACAAAAACGTAAAGGAAGATAGAAAATAAATGGGGGCTTGGGTCACCTTGGATCTGACTCACTAGACTTCAGACATTAATCCTTCACTTCTGCTATAGACAGGCATCAACACAGTCAGAGTTAGAAGAAATTAGAATTTGTTTTCACATTTATTCTCCTCTTCTCAATTTTGACAAAGGAGGAAAGAAGAGAAGGCAGGGAGAATAAATGTTTCTGGCTGCCAGAAACATTTAGATCTTTGGTGAAGCAGAGATCTAAAACACAAAACTCAAAACCTCACTACCATGAAGTATTTAATGCCAACTCATAGCAACCCTAATAGTACGGAGCAGAACTGCCCCTCTGGCTTCCCAAGACTGTGCATCTTGATGGGAGTAAAAAGTCGCATCTTCTTCCAGGAGCAACTGCGGATGGTTTCAAATGACTGACCTTGCAGCTAGTAGCCCGACATGTAGCCCGTAACGTGACCACATACACTATTGGCCAGAGGAAGAACCCCAATACAGGACATTTAGCAAAATAACTCAAAAGAATAGCAGAACATTCCCTTTGTACCTCAACTATCTAGTCTGGTCCTATCAGACCAAAAGCCTATCTATTATGGAAACAGGATGCATTCAAACCAAACCTTCAAGCTCAGATTGGGGGTGGGGGGGACAGGGACATGCCAATAGGGCCAATGTAAACATGGTAAAAACACTCTACTAGTCTTAGGTAAATTGATAGAAGCTGCTACACAGATCAAGTAACAAAACAAACTTGGAATCTATGCAGACATTTACACACAAGAAAAAAAAATAAGGAAGGAAATAGACAAACAAAAGATGAATATTCTGTTTTGGAAAACAACTTTAGGTGACTAATACTTCTCATTCAAAGAAAAAATATATTCATTCTTAAAATAAGAGATTAAAGCAGAGATGATAAAAATGTTTTTTAGCTTTTGATTGTGATCCGAGATTTTTAGAGTAAATGGGTTTTCTGCTCAGGAACTCATACATTCGTCTCACCTCCTGTGTTTCCCATGTCCAGGCTTCTTCCTCATTCTTGCCCTTTGAGCTTCCTCTTTGCCCTTTTGATCTCAAATGGTTGGTGGTGATTCTCTCCCCCAATGGTCTCCACTTTTCAGCCAGGTTCGTTCACTCATTGCAGTGGCCACATGAACAGTAGTCGTGATTAAAGAGTTTATTAAGAAGTTAGCAGCAAGAAAAAAAAAAAGAAGTTAACAAGTTGCGATATGGCAAAATAATAATAACAATAATAATATATAATATAAAATAATAAGGGTTCCTTGGGGGTGGGTGGAAGAGGGAGGGGACAAAGGGGAGTTGATATCAAAGAGTTCAAGAAGAAAGGAAATGTTTTAAAACCGATGGTGGCAGCAGTTGTGTAATTATGCTTGATCTAATTGAATTGTGGATTGTTATAACATCTGTAAGAGCGCCCAATAAAATGATTAATGAAAAGAAAGATGTTAACAGGTTATACAATGAAGGTGAGAAATGCTCATGGTGTATTACAAAGTTCTCTCAGGGCCACTAATAAATGCCCAAACGGCATACCACTCTGCTGTAATCCTCAATCCACAGGCACTCAGCCCCAGCTCTGTGGGTTCCCTCAATTGAGTGCCCAGGGGCACTGAACTCTGCAGCCAGTCTCCTGCCCCAAAGCACTCTACTTTACTTGCTTTGTGGGCTGGGAAGTGCACCAATCTGGCTCATGCTCTAGCTTCTGATTCTGTTGCTGCTGGTACTCCTCTGCCACTCTTCTGGTGTCTTAACTGTGTTCTGGATCAAGGAGGCTCACTGCGCAGGGACCTTGGGGTCCAGAGAACGACCTTCAGCTCTGGCTCTTCGCTGGTAGCAAGATCACTTCTGCTTCTTGGAGGGCTCATTTTATACCCAGTAAGATGGCAATCACAGTGAAGCCTGTTCATAATTACTCACAGGTGAATCCTGTCAGTGTTGTCTTCGCCTTCTTAGCAAGATGCAAGCAGGAAAAAGCTCTTTGGTGGGAGTCACAGAAGCTGTGGCTGGAAGAGCCACATTAAATAATCCACTGCCCCTGCAATTGTTCTGAGGGGTGAATACCTTCATGATGTTATTGTTCACCTTGTAGACCTGTCTACTGTTTGGTTGAAAGCTAAGCCTTGAGAAAAGTGAGTTCAGTTCCAGGCCTAAAGAGTGACCAAGGCCATAGTCTCTGAGGTTCCACCAGTCTTTGTCAGACCAATAAGCCTGGTCTTTTTTTTATGACTTTGAGCTTTGTTCCGTCCTGTCCTGTGCCATCTGTTAGGATCCTAATTCAGCAGTAGTAGCCGGGCACCATCTAGTTCTTCTAGTCTCAGGGTCATGGAGACTGATTTTCACATGGCCCATTATTTAGTTATTTGGACCAATTGTTTATGCATTTTTTTATTTTCTTCACCCTTCTTTCTTCTGTACACAGAAACCAGTAGGTGTACCTTAGATTGCTACTCACCAAAGTAGGATGTAGAACACTGATGAGGGTAATACCAATTCTTTAATCCCTAGTGGTGTAGTAGTTTAAGCACTCAGCTACAAGGCTGCTAACCAAAAGATTGACAGTTCAAACCCACCCTTCCCCTCTGTGGGAGAAAGATGTAGTTAGTGTCTTTTCTCATAAAGATTACAGCGTAGAAAGCCCTCTGAAATAGTTATACTCTGTCCTGCAAGTCACTATGAGTTGAAAGTCAATTCCAGAGTACCCACCAATATAAATAAATATGGGTGGGGTGGGGTGGGTAAAAAGGATGGCTATATAGCAAAATCTTAATAAAATTGAGAGGGCAATATCTATATAAATAGCATTGAATTTATAATAAAAATGCATTTTAAAAACTCGTAAGCTATCCTAGAGGATTTTATCTTAATAATATATTTAAAATGTTGCTGTTTGTTATATAGAGACTCATTAGTTTATTGCAAAATAGTCATGCACATAACATTAGCACTGCAGAATCAGAATGAACAATTGCAATGTTATCTTAAATGTTAGAGTCCAAATCTTTGGGCCTCAGGCTTTTCCCAAGTGGACTCAAGGAGGGAAGGCCTGACCACCATTTGAGCTCAGAGGAGGTCTCTTATCGCTAGGGTCTGAGGTCGGTTGTGATGAGCAATGTCTTAGGGAGCTTCTCAGAACAGAGAACTTTGCTGCTATCGTCTTCAAAGGTGAGAAACCCATAGGCTGCTATGCCTGTCTGCTGCTGTGCTTAGCTGTCATTGGATGCTTTATTGTTGCCAGTTAAGAGAGTTGTTGTATAACATTTGTATGGTTAGCTAATTTATAGAGATTTGAATGATTGGCAGTTAGGGCATGGCATATTTATGTTTTGTTAATTTCTAGAATTATGAATAATGTTACACTTCACTCTCACAGAGTTCAGGTACAAAACTCATTTTCAGAAAGAAACTTCATATACTTCTATTACCTGTCCTCAAGAAGAGGACAACTTCCTATTCACTAATAGTTAATGGTTAAAGAGTGTTATAGAAATGCATATGTTTCTAAGTTCAGACATTCTCTGTTTAGAACTTAACATTATAAGTGACTTATATGTAGATATCTGATAGCATTATAAAAACATCCTAACAGTATAAAAGCATTATAGCTTGATGCACTTTAACAATCACAGATTTAGATGTGATTTGAGAGCAGATAGAAAGCATACATAAACGTACATTGTGATGAAACCTCAAATGCCCAAAAAGGAAAACATATTATTTATCAATCAGCCTTTTTTTTTTTTCCACCATTAGTCATTGGCTTATTAGGAAACAGCTCCCAGAGACATAATCTAGAGGGCAACAGCTGCTGCTGGGTCCCCTGGCCCATGGTGACCTCACGTACAAAAGCCTGAACAGCTGCTCCCCCGCCCCCCGCCATATCAGTCTTTTAATACTACACAAAAATCCACCTTCAATTAAAATTTTCTTTTACCTTATTAGTAAAGAATTTTTGAACATCTACCTCAACTATGTATATTACTCCTGAATTATGCACAGTCAGGAGCTTGTAATATAGTGTGTATATATAAAACCTTAAAAATAAAGGAATTTAAATCTATCGATATAAATAGAAGTTTATATATCTGTCCAGTGGATTATTTTGTGTACTCTTTGATTGCTTTCACTGTACCTTGGAGACCAAGATTTCAAAGAAATACCAAGAAGAGGAAAATGAATAATATACACAGTTTCCACTTCCATGAAATTATTTACAACGAAACTGTTTTGCTCCCTGCAAATAGGACATAGGATGCATCATTTGAATGAAGGAGCCAAAGGTCAGAAAATGGGAAGTGGAGGTGATGGAGAACGGTGGGGTTCAGACAGAGGGTCCCGAGGCAGCTTCAGTGAGCATATCGCTCTTGTGCTCATGAGATTACAGGAAGACATGCAGGATGTCCTGCAGAGACTGCATCAGCTGGAAACAATAACTGCTTCCCAGGTAAGTTCTTAAACTTGCCTTGTCGTTGTTGAGTTCCAGTTGTTGAGCTTGTAAAACTGTATAGTTTATGTTGGTAGATTTACACAAATCTGTATAGTTTAATGATTTTCATGTGTACGTAAAAAGGACCCATTTTGTAACCCACTTTTTTTCCAAAACAATTTTATTGGTAGTTACTACAGATATCAGCTAATTCCATAGTTCAATCACATCAAGAAGTATTGTACAATTGCTACCACAATCTGCTTCAAAACATTTGTTTCTTTCTTGAACTCCTTGACATCAGCTCCTTTTTATCGCGCCCTCCCCATCACTGTGTGCCCCCAGAAGCCCTTATTCTATTGGCTGCCCTCAGAGGCTCATCAATCTTGGCTTTGATGAGCTGAAAACCAGAAAAGCATGTAACAAAAATTCAAGAGGGTGACCCCCAATGACATAACACATCTGAAATAAACCCCAATATGAACAAAGAAAAAAATACAGAAAAGGTTGAAAACCAGATCAGGCTTAATATGCTTCAGAGGAGGGAATCAACTGACAATTTTACCCAATTTTTAAGTGATTTCTCTTTAAGATTGCCATAAAAGCGAAATATCTTAGGGTAATATAAATGTTTCAGAATGTAAAATCAGCTGCACCACTCTGGAGGTCCGTGTAGGATGCATGTTATATTGTACCATTTTAGGAACCATTTCTCGTGAGTCCATCATGAAAGCGTGATTGCCTCCTAATAAGCATTATCTATTATCTTTTTCTAAACTCTGGAGAGAGGAAATATAGTAAGTAATATGTTAATATATTATTAAAAATATATTAAATGTGTTAAGTATTAAGTCTTTATTTAGTATTCCTCAAGATGGATTCAGAATCATAGTGTGACCTCTATTTTCATGAAAGACCAAGTGTATCAAACTTTTTGAAAAGGGTGTGCAGCTAGTCAGTTGCAGAAACTCAAGCAGAACCCAGATACCTTTCTAGCCCAATGTTCCTTCTACTGACAGAGACGGCTTTCCCGTATTGAAAGAAGCTAGGCAGTGGGCTGTAGAGTAGAAGGGGAAAGAGTGTACATTAGGAAAAGAAAACTCAGTTAGGCTCAGAGTTTGTCTGTGTTGTGGTCATGTTTAGACTAAGTTGACAGAGTTTTCAAAGGCTACTGGTGGGTTTCCCAATTTGTCCATTGACCTGTCTGTGTTTGAGTAACACTTGCTACAGAGAAGAAAGAAGCAATCAGCCTGAGTGTGTGACATTACTTCAGACATGTTACAACCTCTAGGCATCATACCACACAAGTTAAGAGGAATATGTAGAAATCAAAGAAAATGTGCCCCATCCCTTGATGTAATAATGATTATACCATTCTTCTTGATATGAATGAGCAGTAGAACTATTGAATTGTATGATATGTAAATTATGTGCAATAAAACTGTTGGGGGGGGAGAGAGTAAAAATTACTTTAGATGTGTTTATAAATGTACTAATTTTATTTAAACTAAAATTTTAAATATAAATAATTTTGGAAGAATTATTTATAATGATAATACAGCATATTTGTTGTAAAACAAAACAAAACAACCTACTGCCACAGAGTCAGTTTCAACTCCTAACAATCCTATGGGGTTGCGAAGGCTGTAATCTTTTATTTTTAATTATTTTATTGAGGGCTCGTACAAAAAGGCTGTAATCTTTATAGAAGCAAATTGTCACTTCTTTCTTCCATGGAGCAGATAGTTGCTTTGCACACTGGCCTTTTGCTTAGCAGCCAGCCTCTTAAACTTGGCAACCAGGGCACCTGCCACTAAATAAATACTCAAATTCATTATGTAAGTGTTACAAACAGTTGTGAATTTCTCTTACTATTTCATAAGTAACTTATTCAAGTTAGCAAGGCTTCTTGGTTATATTTATGATCAACTGGAATGTGAGTATTTAGGCTTTATAGATTCACCATACAAGAATATATAAACTTCTGTTTTGTGCTGCATTATTTAGACAAAAGGGTTTTATTGCTTTTATTGGCCCCTTAACAGTATCTGTGATACAAAAGAAGAATAGTATCTTAAATTCACTGCATTGACTTGTTTATGTAGATAAATAGCCATGACTACAATACAGATCAATGTAGATTATTGATATCAAATATAAATTTTACACACACCTTTTGCAAATGGGAAAATTGTACTATT